TGCTTTCCTGATCTGCAAAACGCTTCTGGGATTGGAACTATGGGAATTTTTTTAAGAATGCAATGGTTTGGCTAAGATAAAACCGGGTGCGGAGGTTTTTCCAGCCTTGGAAGGAGTAATGACTAAAGCGTGAGTTTATTAAACTAAATACTCGATTGCATAAAGACCCTTTGCAGTGATCATGGCCCTATTTGGGCTCACAGGCTCACAGATCAGACTACAGTTTTGAATGATTTTATTGTAGCTGCACGCTCGAATTTCTGCTTCAAAAACTTCCATAACTTCCCTCCGAGAAGAGCCTTGCGGATATCGAAAACAGATTTGGAATCAGCGTTTTATGCTCTATAAGGCAATGTACATCTCATATGGAAACCTTCGACCAAGTATCGTTCCCTTGTTAGTACTCGGTTGCATTTACTAGTCGAAAAATTGTCCTAATTGAGTCAAGCAATTTTACATGTAGCTGATATTTGGTTAGCTTTTATTTATTAGAGATTTGCTAATAGGTCTGTCTAATCAATATCAGTTTCTCGAATCCGATTTTCAGTTTGCTGGCTGTGAATGTAAAGTTGGATGCGGATCATACGATGATCCAAGCAAACTCAACGGAACCATTTCATGTGTTTTTAATACGTCCGACTGCGCCTCCAAGTCGGGTCGATGTACATCTCCTTACAGAAGACAACCAAGTGATGAAGACAATTACATTTTGCGTGATATTGATGGTAATAATGTAATATATCATTTTGATGATAATAATATAATATGATGTAAAATGTATTATTAACTTATTTATTAAGTATGGTAGGAATAAATAATCAAGCCAATGGTATAAAGATGTTATGATTGTCATGATAGTATTAGTACTCGGGGATTAACCCCTATGAAGAACAAATAAACTCAAAAACAATTGAGATGAAACAGCAACATCAAACATCATTAAGTGATTGCAAATAGCTTGGTAGAACATGTTTAAATAAAAACAGTTTCACCACAAGCCCGATCTCTTACAATTAGAAGCCTATCGACATCATGTGAAACACAATATGCGAGAAAATTTCTTCTCTCAGCAAGCTTGCATCTAGCAAGTGTATAAGCTTTCAATCTCTTCTAGTTGTAGGGGTCTTAGTATCAAAATAGGCAATTCTAGAGCCACATTGACCAAAGATTATTTCATGGACCAATATTGAATCGATTCTCTTCTGCGAGCTAGAGAGATAATCCAAAATTCCTATATTATATTAAAATGAAATTCAAAACTTAGCATCTGCCGGAAAAGCACAAACGCGACAGCACTAATGGCATCAAGAAAATGTGTCGTTGTTTCTACAAAAATAATTCATTTCGTTAAGTTTTTCTCGGTAATCAAATGGAAGGCTTCGAAAGAATCACTTGGCTTTCAACGGACCTTTTCAGCTGATGCAAATACAATGGTATCTCTTCCACCTGCTTCTTCGCAAAGTGGCCATTCATTTCACATCTGATTGCAAGTCTACACTTTCTGAATGCGGAGCCCTTTTTAGACCCACATCTCGTTCTCAAAAAGGAAACGCCTATATTGTAATTCCGATATTACGAGAATTAACTATAAATAAAAACTGTCGCGGATTCGCGAATTCCTTCAAAGGAGGCCGCCCCCGCGCTGCGAAGGGGTCCTGAAACGCCGTCCTCGCGCTGTCCCGCCTCTCACCTCTCTCACCTGCGCAGCTTTCGTTTAAGTCACGTAGTCAGTCTACGCTGCTGTCGCCATCGTGAGCGGTCGGGTTCCATCTTCGTCTCAATGCCATCGATCGATACAGCGCCAATCCCATCTCACGCGTCACATCCATCTACGCCACGGAGGACTGGCACCCCGCGCTAACGAGGTAACCCCGAGCGCGATCGCACCTGGCACATGCCGGCGACACCGCCTCGGGGGGTTTTCGATACTGCTGGCCCCTAGGGTTGTAAGATCTTGGCTAGTTGTACTCACCCCATTGTGTTTGTGTCTAGGGATTAGTTGTGGATAAATGGTGGGCATTTTACTCGTGTGAATTGTACTGAAGCGGTGAGCCACAGCTCGGCTGTGGCTCCGGGGATATTTGTGTCATCAATGTTGTGTCTTATAATCTAACCTAGTGGAAACATCTGTAGGAAGGTGGCACGATCCATGGTAGTGCCACGGTTATGAGTACACGCCCCAGCTGTCGATAGTTGGGAGAAAAGATTGAGTCGCAGGTGTCGAGCAACTTACTAAGCAGGCTGGTGGCAAGGGCTCCTACGTGTGTATAGAGTTCCCATGTGGCAGGCACTAGTAGCGTTCACACAGGTATGCCACCACAATAGTCGTTTCACCCTTTCACGGAAGGGACCCCTGGCTCCCCTCGCCGATGCAGGAGGGCACTTACCACTGACGTTGGGAGCTGGGGGCCCAATGACATGGTGCATCGGACCGGAGTTGAGCATAGAGATAGCAAACCTATGTTCAGCTTTTGTGATCGAGCCTCACCTGTGTAGTCCACATGTGCGCGCTTTGCACATTAGTGTCCCTAGCCAGCAGTGCAAATTTTATCACATTTCCCCATTTCACATGTTTGCGCAGTGTATACATGCTTGGTTGTATCTTGTGTCCTTGGAGAACTCATCTTTCGTCTCATCAGCAAGCTCCGTAGCGACTAGGTTGACGCGAGTACGCGACTACCCACAGTTCCACTTAGATTGGGAGTAGGGTGATCCCGTAGACCTGTAGTGGCAGCAGCAATCTAGCCCTGCCTACTGCCCGGAACTGTCTGGTGCCTTCTGACGGCCAGGTTTCTCTGCAGCCATGGAGATCCCAGGTAGATAGCTCTGTCTGCCCTGAAACATGCCATCATTTTGGTGGTCAGGTTTCTCTGCAGCCATCGAGGTCCCTGGTGGATAGCTCTGTCTGCCCTGAAACACGCTATCAGGCTGCGAACGAGCCCTTGTGTTGCGTCAGATGAGAGTCTCGCCCCCAAATTCATTTCCTCCCACATGCTCGCATTGCGCATTCATCCGCTCTCCCTTTTTTTGCAATTTGTGGTTAGGCTTAGCTAGTTTACCGCCCCTGCGATCTATACTGCTCCTGATTATTGGCAGTCATTCCCCCATATTAACATCTGGGAGCTTCAGTCGTTGTTTGTTGCTTGCCGTTTCATTCGTTTCACTCGTGTATTATGTTCACCATTTGTGTGACTACGTCCGGAAGTAGTCACACCCCCATCGAACACATTTATGGAGTACAATTTCAGACTTTGGGTTCGCAGTTACTACCTCCTGCAAGCTATCGAGTTAGCGCACTGTCGATCGATATGACAACCGTAGAATCCTACATCCCCAAGGTCGTCAAAGCCATCGACGACCTTGAAGCGGCTAGGAGACAGGTAAGTCCCGACTTGCTTACCCCGTATGTGTCTGACGCCCCAGTTGCGGAGCAACTCCACCAGCTCCAGCTTCGTCTGGCAGCCACACAGCTTCACATAGTGAGTCTGAGGTCCGCACTTTCGCTTCTACGTGAACGTCGCAATGTACTTGTGTACCACATTACCATCTCCCACTCGCCGACGGACCAGCAAGCGTACAGCAAGTTCGAGGAAGAGCACAGCGTGGATAAACATTAGGCCGACGCTAAAGCACTTCTCCGCACTTTGCAGAGTACGCAGGAAGCGGACAGTGAAAACTTCCAGTCTCTTCGTATCCATCGACTCGCTAATTCCATCAGTGAAGATGCCACTACGGGGACGACAGGAACAATGACGACGCCACAGCGACATGATCGCACAGATATCGCCCCACGTCCACAGAATGTGGACCCACAGTTGGACGCTGTGCAGCAGTTGGAACATCTTCAGCTCACGCCCGCTCAGAATGCCCCATCGTCGCACAACGTACCGATCCATCTGGAGAAGTTAACGTTGCCGCATTCGATGGAGATGTCACCAAGTTCCAGCAGTTTTGGTGTGCATTCGAGCTAGCTGTCCACAATGAACCCAACATAGACCTCAATATGAAATGTCTCTACCTCATGAGCTTGATCAAGGGAGACGCCCAAGTGGTTTTGCAGGACCTTGAACCAGGACGGAACAACTACTATCAGTTGGTGCAAGCCTTGAAGAAGCGATACGATTGCCCGAGGAAGACCAGAGCGCTACTCCATCAGCAGCTCCGAGATCTTCAGCCCGCAACCGAATCAGCTTCGGATATGCGAAACACTTGGTTCCGGATTCAAGGTATCCTTCATTCCCTTAAGCGTTTCGAGGATTTAAATCGTGCACTGTACATCATCGATCTCGTACGTACTAAGTTACCCCTGTCAATTCAGGAGCGACTTAACAACGTTGAGTTCGAGAAACGAGCCGATTTTGATCTTCGACAAGTCATGTCTCACCTCGATGACCTTATTCAGTCAAAGGAGAGGTTTGAGCAGACTTGCTCCCGCAGTCGTACTTACGTTCTCAATAGAGATGTTTCCCCAGGACGTCCATTAACGTCTACATCCCCCAGATCATTGCATGATCCCGCATGTTGCTTTTGTGATTCCCTTTCGCACTCTTCTCGCAGTTGCGACGAGCGTATGCCAGTTGGTGTGCGTCTTAAGATCGCACATCTTCTGCGACTATGCTTGAAGTGTCTTCGAGAAGGACATTCTCAAGGCGATTGCGACTATCCATCTTGCAAGGAGTGTGGAGGTCAACACCATCGACTTCTCTGTAGGCTCGCGGAAGAGGAGGATTGTACCCGAGAACGTCATCAGTCGTCTAGCTCATCTAGTTCGTCTGATTCGTCATCGAAGAGGCAGCCAGCTGCGGAAGGAGACGATCAACCTGGAGAATCCTCGGATTTTGAAGATCCAGCACGGGATAGCAGAAGATCCCGAGACTATTCTCGTGATCATCACTATCATCCGCATAGAGGATATCGCAGCAGACTGGATGCTACCCCACGATCGGATACACAATCCCCATCTCGACCCGTGCGTTCCGTACCAGTCAGAGAATCCCCACATGTTTCTCCTTCGCCCACACATCGTAGAACACCATCGCCACAGATTCCATCTCCCACGGGAACGTCCAGACGTCGACGCCACCGAAGACGCTATAGGGATCCGAAGTGGATGCGTAGGTTGTATACTTGGGTCCGAATCGAATAGAAATTCGATCATTCGAATAAAACATTCGAATATATTCGTATTCGAAATTCGATATTCGGAGTTCTTCCATTTTCGAATAATATTCGAAACTCGAATAATCAAAAAACAGGATTTCGAATAAAATTCGAAAACTCGAATAATCAAAAAACGAGGTTTCGAATCATATTCGAAAACTCGAATAATCAAAAAACGAGGTTTCGAATAGATTTTATTCGAATGTTTTATTCGAATGTTTATTCGAATTCGTATTCGAATGTACTCCGTATTCAGATTATTCGACTTTGTTGCAAAACCCACTGCTGAGTATCAAGCTCACTTCGTCCGCATTTTTTTTTTCGCAAAACTGCAATGCATCTTTTGCAACCGTTATACTTTTAAACTGTATGGAGAGTCGCATTCTTCTGACTGCTTGCTACAGTAAAAAAATCATGTGTGGATTTTGATTGATGTAGAAAGTATCATCGGCTCCACGATTCGTGTAGAGGCGGGGTTTTGCCAACTCAAAGCGTGGCTTTTTTTGATAGCGAGAGAGTACAAAAAACAATGCTATGACGTGAAGGTTCAACAAGTTTACCTGTATTATCAAGCAAAGTCTGCAATACACCTCTACACGAATCGTGGAGACGATCATAGAGCAAGCCCTTTGCTTCTACATTGTTGATGCTGATAAGAAATAAAGTTAATTCTGGCGTACATCAGTCTCTTTCAGCCATCTGAAGAAGAATCTCTTGGGCACAGTAAACAAATTTATATCGACTGCTTTTTAAATCGTCCATAATGGGTAAAATATGACTTTTTGCTGTGTATAGACTAGATGCCGACCGATCGACTTTATCGATTTTTGGGGAAGTTTGAGTTGCGGGGCTGAGAGTTGGTACAAGGGGGTAAGTGAGGGTGCTGATTATGAATAAAAATTTATTTTATAAATTTTATCGATTTTTGGAAAATCTCGAGCTACGAGCTTGGGAGTTGGTACAGGGGAAATGAGGATGCTGATTAAAACCGAAATCTATTTTATCGATTTCAGCAATTTTTGGAAAATTTTGAGCTAGGAGTTGGTATGGCGGATACTAGGGGCTGGTTATGATTGAATCGGCTCTAGCCAGATATGTCGGCAAGTTTGTGATGTGAATGCTTTAGTTATTCGATAAATCATTCGAATATTTATTCGAAATTCGACTTCCAATGTTCGAATATATTCGATATTCATTCATTCGATATTTTTAGTTTTCCGAATTTATTCGAAATTCATTCATTCGATATTTTTGATTTCCCGAATTTATTCGAAATTCATTCATTCGATATTTTTGATTTTCCGAATTTATTCGATATTCGTTTATTCGAAATTTTTCCTTTTCGAATTTATTCGATATTCATTCATTCGATGAAAAATTCTCGAATTACCCAAGTATAGTAGGTTGTCTCGTACCCCAAGCAACTCACCCCATTGATACCTCGCAGGCCTACTGCCGTTCTGCAGCAGCTTCGTTCTGCCCACAGACATCCACTCACACTTTGCGTTATCACATTTATATTATAACTGTTTACTTTCAGCAGCCTCCTCCTTTCTCGTGCTCATGGACGCTCGAAGCTATGTTCAGGCTAGCCACTTCCATCTTGTTGCTTCGTCGCCCCTCACCCCGAGGATGGGTTGCCGCGGTCCACTCTTGAAGTGAGCTAAAGTTCGAGGAAGGAGAGTGGAGCATAAAGTTCGAGCTCTCGCAGTTAAGTTTGGAAGTTTACATCCCCAGTTTACGGTTTCTTTTTTAGTTCTTTTATTTCCCTTTTTATTTCTTTTATTTTCTTTTGGAGAGCCTTAAGCTCACCCTTGTCGTTGTTGTCAACCTTGATTCAGGATCGGCAGCAGTGATCCCCATTATACGTTGACACATGTGACTATAGCCGCAACTCACGACCTTTGGGGTCACGGTGGGAGACCGTGCTAACTTTTTGTTTTTGGGATTTCCCCTTCTTTTGCAACTTTGACTTGGCCCTGGGTTCTTGTGTATAGTGAGGAAAATCTCCCCCTCACAAAAATTTATTCCCCTGGCGTGAAAAAATGCGCCCGTAGGCAAAATTAAAACTTTTTGGTCTTCATCGCCACTTCAACGTCATCCATGTCGAGCCGCTGTCAACGTCAACGTCGAGCCGAACATCCACGTCAACGACGAGTTCCATGGTCGCCGTTCAAGTTGTCGATGCCGCAAATGTCGAGCCGATCCGCCGTCAATCGTCGCCTCAACCTTCGTTCAACGCAACTGTCGACTACGCAACCGCCGAAGACCCGCCAGTATCCAGAGTAGAGCCCCCGACGACTCTTCACGCTTACCCCCGAGAACAACTGGCTGTTACCACGACAGGTGTAGGTCCCGCGTTCCACCTAGGGATTTTTGACTTGTAGGTCTGTTTGTATGTTTGACTCGTAGGGTCGTAGGTAACGTGGCAGATCGGAAACTACCTCGGACCCCTTCTTTTTTCTTCGTGTTGCCCGGAGTGTCGCAGATTCGCGACTTCCTTCAAAGAAAGCCGCCCCCGCGCTGCGAAGGGGTCCTGAAACGCCGCCCTCGCGCTGTCCCGCCTCTCACTTCTCTCACCTGCGCAGCTTTCGTTTAAGTCACGTAGTCAGTCTACGCTGCTGTCGCCATCGTGAGCGGTCGGGTTCCATCTTCGTCTCAATGCCATCGATCGATACAGCGCCAATCCCATCTCACGCGTCACATCCATCTACGCCACGGAGGACTGGCACCCCGCGCTAACGAGGTAACCCCGAGCGCGATCGCACCTGGCACATGCCGGCGACACCGCCTCGGGGGGTTTTCGATACTGCTGGCCCCTAGGGTTGTAAGATCTTGGCTAGTTGTACTCACCCCATTGTGTTTGAGTCTAGGGATTAGTTGTGGATAAATGGTGGGCATTTTACTCGTGTGAATTGTACTGAAGCGGTGAGCCACAGCTCGGCTGTGGCTCCGGGGATATTTGTGTCATCAATGTTGTGTCTTATAATCTAACCTAGTGGAAACATCTGTAGGAAGGTGGCACGATCCATGGTAGTGCCACGGTTATGAGTACACGCCCCAGCTGTCGATAGTTGGGAGAAAAGATTGAGTCGCAGGTGTCGAGCAACTTACTAAGCAGGCTGGTGGCAAGGGCCCCTACGTGTGTATAGAGTTCCCATGTGGCAGGCACTAGTAGCGTTCACACAGGTATGCCACCACAATAGTCGTTTCACCCTTTCACGGAAGAGACCCCTGGCTCCCCTCGCCGATGCAGGAGGGCACTTACCACTGACGTTGGGAGCTGGGGGCCCAATCCGCGACAAAAACTGTTGAAAATTGTTAACAAAGAAAGAACACTAAGTCGCACTAGCAAGTTGACAAGAATATATCTCAGAATCGCCGTCAAACGCAAACTATCTTCTTTCCCTGCGGAGAAATTAAGAAGTTATGAGCAACCTGTGAATTCTCTAGAGTTGACCTGATAACGTAGACAATAGGTCCGCTTGAGAGCGCAAAATTGAGGTGATATTGAGTGCGCTGATTACACGAAACAGTATACATAGTTGCCAGAATGCTGAGTGTTTCTGAATCGCTTTTCACTAGATGTCCTGACTGTTAAGCTGGAATTGTTACTCTATTTTCCTTGATTCAAATTTAGAACTTCCTAGTGAAAGTGTTTTGAAGAAAGGATAGTTTCGGAAAGATCAAAAGTGATTGCGTCGAATACATAAATACATAAATATGTATACATTTTTAATCATTGATATCAGTCTTACCACAGGGTCTTTTGCCAAAAGATTTTATAGATCCGGCTTCAACTTAGCTTTGTTGTGAAGAAAGAATCATCAATCAACCTGATTGCTGTGGAAATATCGTAATAACTTTCAACATACAAATTAAACCACTTTGAGATAGACCGCTCAAAAAATGTTCTCTCAAAATCTGTAAAGTTAAGTGACAATGTCTTTGGACCCATTGTTTCAAAAGACAGCTTAATTTTGGACGAGATTTTCAAGCTCTCGAATGACTTGCCCATATTGAAAGGTATAACTTGCAAAAACATCTTACGGTCGAATTTTGTACCTATCATCAGCAAATTTCAGATTAAAGTTGTTATAGGCTTGCTGAATACTTATTCTAGGGCAAAATGCAACCACTGATGACTAAAAACTGTCCACGAACTTCCTACCTTAGTCTTATAGTAATGAGGAGTGAGGGTAGGTGGTATTTGAAGCTAAACAAAAGATTATGTGGGATGAGGATAGGATTATAGTTTTGCAAACGTCTATGTCCAAAAATTTCTAAGAGAGCTCATTCGGTACAAGGAAGTGAAAGTGTTCACATGAATATCGAGGGAAAAATTTCTTGCACGCAAAATTTAATGCAAGAACTTTCTGTTTGTCAGAGACATCTATTCACTAAACGGCAAGAAGAAGTAGGCCAAGTAGCTGAGCACACCGTAATAACTTCACCGTGATAATATCGGAACTTAATTTTCAATATTCACGTAATTCTAACTCCAAATGTAACTATACAATTGAAGCCGTAGCCATTTACTAGAAACGTTAGCTCAAGTAAGCACATAGACAAGGTAAATTATGCTTATGAAGGCTTTAGAATAATTTACCATATCTGCTAGTTTATTTATGAAAATGAAACTGCTTGTTTATCTCCTTTTTCTAGGACCAGCGCATACTGTTGATTGCTTCAACCCATTCGCCTTTGGAGATCACGGTTTTAGGGGATTTAGTTGGAGAGAGGTCACGACACGACAGCATTCAGCAAAGATTTTTGAGCGAAACTTTTATGGTTGCAGAGATTTGTTGATCAGGTGTAGATTTTACAATTATTTTGGGTTATGCCGCAGATTTCGTTTGATAGCCCATATAGGCTGCTGAAGAGCGTGCAGTAGGCGCGAAGAAACGCGTCAAGTCCTGCTTCCATAACAACTCCCTCTCATAAAACATCTTCATCCCCTACTTCAACTCCTGGAACCTCTCTCGAAACACCTTGGTTTTGACTTCTGAAACATCCAGCTTCAGAAGAAACTCCAACCACAGAAATTACCTCGATTTTGGATGTGGAGCCAGCCACAACTTCCATACCAGAAGTTGATGCGACTACTTTGCATCAAGAGATGAATCAAACATCTACTGTGAAAGTAGACGAAAGCATTTCAAACTGGAAATTACTGCAAATGAGAAAAATGCTGAGTAGGGAGACTTCGAACCAGATTTGAAGCTTTGGCAACACATAGCATTCTCAATTTTGAGACTAAATTCTGTTGTACCCAATGCCTCCTACAAAAAACGGAGTTGTTTTGGAGGTTTATTTGAGTCAATTGATACGAAAATGCATAAGCAAATGGTGAAAGAGTGTTTTGACTATCAGAGCAGATATTCAAAAACCTTAACGACAGCATATCTTGATGATTGTTTCGAGCAACAACAATCCATAATTAGCAGAAGCTTGCAGTTGAAACCTGTTGTAATTGACACAAAATGTGTTCATAAGTTGCGCAGAAGAAGGGAGGTGGGTCGAATTGGACGAATACTTACAAACATTCAATTTTCAGTGACACTCGTCATCAAGATAGTCATCGTAAAATGCTTCTCGTTTTTTTCCTTATGCTATCCATCTGCAAACTTACCAGCAAACTTACAAACTACCATTTCTCGTATCAATTTTGAAAACATTTGGATGTGATAAATGCAGTCTATGTGGCATCAAATTGAGCACACTGATGCCGCTGCACAAAAGCAATTTTCCATCCCAATTCAAGCATGCTAGATTTTTCTATCAAATTACAAGGAAGTCAGTAAACTATTTCAGTTACTAATGCTAGAACGATAATCAAGTGATGTGGAAGCAATATGTAGATCAAAGCCCTCAGCCATCCATATGGGCATCACGATTCTTAGCTTGTGTCAATAACAAGGCAATAAAAGTATTTGCACAGAGTGAGAGACTCAGAGAACACCTAAATTCGGACAAACAAGAATGTGAATATTATTGGATGAGCACATTTATCGTTCAATTATCCTTTCCAATAATTCCAAGGGCTTTCCGATATCAGACCACCATTTGTCTACCTGCTCTTGCTAGTATTACTTATTGTCGCTAATTGCGTTAAACTACGTCTTAAGCGAAGGCAATATGACCCGATCTGTGACTCACTCTGTGATCTTCTCAGTGACATTACAAGGTTCCGAGACACTGTAAGTCAAGAGTCAAGAAAAGTGGCTGTCAGGGGATGACATATAAACGGATATTCAAACGCTGCAAAGCAGCTCCTATTGATATTCTCAAACCTTCAAATGAGAAAGAGGAAACCGCAAACTCATCTTTATCAATTAACAATAAAGCTGTAATTCCTGATGAGAAAGGATGCCCATTTTGGAATGCTCCTATGACTCACAATTAGCTGTCGAATACAATAGAACAAGGCCAACCAGTTTTTCTATAAGTTGATGTTGATATTTCTTATGCCGCACTGGTTGGTATGGTGAAACCTTATTGACCTAATCTCCTGAACAACTCGTCTTCGTCGGAGGTCTGAAAAGGATTGTAGTTTACATATCTGCTGTACTTTGCTGCCAAACATCTCGACTGTGTCCGCTTCGCCTATGTTTCCTCAGACGCAACCTACTGGGAACATCGAACGACGGCAAACAA